AGGTTTGCTGTTGAATTAATACAGTTATACAATATTGAACTCAGTATAAACCCTGTAACACATAAAATTGAGTTTTTAACCTTTAAAAAAGATCTCTGTTTCATTTTAAGAAATACTGTTTCTTATAGAAAGACACATTGTTTTTGCTACTAACACTGAGATGTTGGTGCATGCGTCTCTAATCTCTATGTATCTGATCATTACTAGTAATCATAGGCTGCACTTGGATCCATGGTGCCTGTGTTTGTCTATAAAGTAATCGGGTAGATTTCAGTGGTAATGTTTATCACCTATACTAATTAACATGACAAATTTTTATACTTCTTCCTCAAATATAATACATTTAAAAAATTTGTTAATTTTTTTTTCTGTGTCTATCACACAGAACATACCAAGCCGTCTTATTCATCTGTACACCCACTTCCCAGATGGCACCTCCCATAGCCTCCCTCCCCCACTAGAGCCTTTATACTCTGCTATCCCTGCTACTGTCCACTGTGTGGTCGACACCCCCAGCCGTTCCCCACTACTTGTCCATCTGGTGAATCTAGGCAGCCTATCTAGAGGTCTTTGTTTTAGGAAGGTCAGCTGTTCCTCATCTAGCAGCAATCAGTTGTCAATATTACTTTTCATAATATTTCGGTCTGCTGTTCATTTCCCGGTTCTGTAGTTTTCTTTTTTTGGTTGTATCTTTACCTGGCTTTGGTATTAGAGTGATGCTGGCTTCATAGAAGGAATTTGGAAGGTCTCCCTCCATTTCTTTGTTTTTGAATAAATTAAGTAGTATTGGATGTAGTTCTTCTTTAAATGTCTGATAGAATTCTGCTGTAAATCCATCTGGTCCTGGGCGTTTTTTAGTGGGGAGGTTTTCTATTACTGTTTCAATTTCTTTTGTGTTATGGGTCTGTTTAAGCTGTTAAACTCTTCTTGGTTTAGTTTTGGTGGTTCCCATGCCTTTAGATATCTGTCCATTTCTTTTAGGTTTTCAAATTTAGTGGCATATAGGTTTTTAAAGTATTCCCTTATAATATTCTATATCTTTCTGGTGTCTGTTGTGATGTTTCTCCTTTCATCTCTGATTTTGTTGATTTGGAGGTGCTCTT